TTCTCGAGTAAGTGTAGTGAAACATCTCGGAGTCATGGTTGACTCTGGCTTGTGTTTCTCTGATCACGTTTATAGGCTGGTTAACTCGTCATTGAGAATGTTGGGTGTTGAAACTCGCTTAACCAGGGAGCTCGACAACCCGACTGCTTTTATCACGTTAAACTGTTCGCTATCAAGGTCGCAGTAAAAATAGACTTCAGTTGTTTAGAATGGAACCTCCCAAACTCACTCCTTGGAGTTCGAACGTGTGCAAAAAAAGTTTGTTTCAATCTTTAAGCATCCCTTGATAAAGGAGGGTGTTCATTGTATAACATATGAGTCTGCGTTAGAGCATGTTGGTTTGCTTAGCTTGCACCGGCGTCGAAGAACGCGGACTCACTATCTTTGTTTTAAACGCTGCATGGACTCATTTATTCTCCGAGCTTGTTATCGGAACGGTTCCTTAGGGTCCCACTCGTGCCTACTCGTCTTCTCCCATCTTTATATGTTTCTGGAACGTTTAGTCCGGCAAACCCAATTGTTAGAATAGCACTTCGTTTGGGTCATCACTCTCAAAAACTTGATATTTTCCACCCGTGCTACAAGACGTTTGTCCTTTCAATTAAAAAAAAAACTTGCCTGTGCAGGACGAGCATATATGAATTGCTCGGTTATGTCTAAATTTCGCCATCTCCATGGGTTAAAACATAATAATTCCTTGGCAATGGATTATCAAACTTGGGATTATGAAGCTCTTTTGGAAAGTGATACAATATCTGATCTTTATCGACGTAGAGAGCAAGCGGATTTGGTATATTTGCTTAAAACTTTTCACCACTCAATTCACTCGTGAATACTCAATGCACATTTTGAACGTCTAGAAAATTTGGTCACTTTTGAGTATTCCCTGGTTATTGATTTGTTACAGCGGCTACTTTGAAAAAATGGACTTATTTGACTCCAGCCGAATAAATTTTGACCTCTCAATCAAGACTTGTTCTAATTAAGGAAGAGCTGAGGGGTACTCGGAGGTTACGGTGAATCGCTCACGAATTTTTATTCTTCGTAGTAACTTAATTTGTAGACAAGTTGATTTACTCTTGAAACTCATGTAGCGGGAATGTTACTACCACTTTTTAACAGCCCTATAATTTTTCATATGAAATGAGGGCTACATGGCCAGTGATGTTTGCAAGAAACTGCGTCAATTAACACTTTTTTTCGTCTCTGTGTGATGCATCTGCTCTCCTCACTACACAGGTACCTCTTCATGGCGCACTCACGTATGAACTTCAAATATAAACGTTTAACTCCTGAGTTTATGCGTCGGTAATTTCAATCTTTCTGTGTATCTATCAAGTTATAAATGTCACGTTTTATCTTTTAATGTAACTATGATCCTTGTTTTTTAGTGTTTCAATGTTCCGTGTGCCAGCACCAAGACCGTACTGTAGTTCCAGAGAACACAATAAAATTATGTTAGAAATTATTAATATTGTAATTAAAATTATTACCAATAATAATAATAATAATAATAATAATTTTTAATTCACGTATTTCATAACTACATACAAGAATGCGGGTCCGTCGAAAGCCAAAAGAGGCTTGTAGGACTGGACCCAGCAGCGGCGTGAAGAAAATCAAATTCTGACGCTTGATTACAAAAAACAAACAAAACACTTAAAAAAAACAATTCCAAGAACTATGCATAAATAACTCTTCAAAAAAAAAATTACTGACATGTAATCATACACCACAATAAATACACTAAAGGGGATTAAGAACGGATGGCCACGGACTACACTCTTTGACCACAAAAAATCTTCTATTCAGGAACTGAAAAGGGTGAAAAAAAAAAAACAAAAAAAAAACGCGAGATGCACAAAAAGGACATGTTCAGAAGCAGGATATTTAGCAAATTGTTTTTAGTTGTTTTTTCAGCTGACGCTTTGACCTGAGTTCCAAGAATGACTCTGACAATGTATTGAAAAGTTCAGGGACATAGAAAGAGCGCATACGTTTTCCATACTTTGTGTATACACGAGGAATGAACAATCGTTCACTTTCCCTTAAGTTGCGCTGCAGGACACGGGGCGTTTTGAAAGGGCTGTACCAATAGTGTTTGTCAATTACACATCTTTTATAAAGTGCTGAAAAACGCGGGAGACACAACGAAGAAAACAACTCTTCACTTGGCAGATCAAAAGAGGTGTATGCTACGCTTTTTAAAATACTTTTTAAGATGTTATCTATTTTGTGATACCAGAGCATGGAACAATTCGCATGAATAGTAATTCCGTAACGTAACAGGCCGTAGGCTAAGGCATTGACTATCATTTTTCGGACAAACAGCGATAAAAACGTTTTTGTAGTATATAACATACAAGATACACTCCTTAACTTTTTGGCTATGTAGCTGAGGTATGAATTCCACGATAAATCGCTATCAAAGAAAATGCCTAAGTACTTTGTTGTGTTTACATATTCAAGAGGCATACAGGAGCAGTGAGTACATTTCGACGAGTGCAATATAAAAGGAATATCAAGGCTTTTGCGTTTCGACGGACTACTGAAACACATAATTTTTGTTTTCTGAACATTTATTTTAATAAGATTTGCTTCGAACCAGTTCATAACTTTGGTTGAATTCTCTTGCAATGATACAGTCGCACTGCTCAGATTTAAATGTCTAGATACTAGCAGCGTATCGTCAGCGTACTGATATATTTCGCACCCGGATATAGTTTTAGAAAGGTCATTGACATATAAATTAAACAAAAGAAGGGCTAAAACAGAGCCCTGCGGTACACCAGCTTTCAAAAGCACTTTGGCACTCCGGCTATCACACACTGAAACTTGCTGTGTGCGGTTCGTTAAAAAGTCTTTGAGTAAAGAAAAAAATGGTCCCCTGAAACCATAGTCGAATATTTTTTTCATTAGTATCTTATGGCTAATGGAGTCGAATGCCTTTGAGACATCAAGAAAAAGGGCACAGGCATATTTGTTATTTTCAAAAGTTCCATGCAAAGTGTCCACGAGTTCTTCAAGTAAAGAATCTGTTCCACGTCCAGCAACAAAGCCGTACTGACACGGCGATAGCATATTAAACTTCCCAAGAAACGCGGTCATTGTTCTGAAAATATGCTTTTCTAGTACTAATGCTAAACATGGTAAAATCGAGATGGGCCTATAACTTTCAACGCTATCACGTGCACCACCTTTATAAAGGGGCCGAACAATGGCACTTTTCAGGCCACCGGGAATGATACTAGAATTTATAACCCCGTTTATGATGTATAGCAAAACTGTGCTCAGCGCTTCAAAATTACGTCGTAAGTCGCAGAGACGAATATTATCTGAGCCGGGCGCCTTATTGGGTTTAAAGCTAAACAAAATCAAGCGTAACTCTTCGATTGTCAGGTTCGGTAAAAATGCAGAATGTAAAGAAGGACACTCTAGATTAGTCGGGGTCACGGTTTCGTCGCGCGCTACACCCGAGACTGAAGCAAAGAAGCGATTAAATTTATCAGTTATAGATGACACATGTGCGCCAAAGTTTTTTTTAATCGTGTCATCGATCGACGATTTAGACGAGCATCCCTTTACTTCGTTAACCAGGGACCAGGTTTTTGCGACGTCATGACGGGAGCGGAAAAACTTTTCATTAAAGTGTTGGCGCTTCTTAGAACGTACAAGGGCATTTACACGATTTCTAAGGCTTTGATACTGTAACCTTAGCTCTTGGTTTTCAGGGAAACGGCGACATCGTGCCCATAAAGTATCTTTTTCTTTGATTGCAGAAAGAACATTTGACGTTAGCCAAGGATGATTTTTCCGCCTTTTTCTTATCGTAACATGTTTTGTGCTTTGATCTCTAAAGTTCAAAAGAATTTCACAAAGATTTAAGTAGGCACCATGATAATCATTGTTTTCGATTAAGGCATTCCAGTCATAAGTGGAAATTAGACTGTCAAGACGACGTGAATCGACAATGTTTACTTGTTTGGGTTGTTCTACCTTCTCAGGAGCGACAGCGAAATTAATTCGACAGGCCACGAAATAATGGTCCGCTAATTTTTGTGCGATAAAGGCTGAGTCTACAGGCACCCCTGAATTTCTAATGTTAATATGATCAATGCATGATATAACGAGGTTGCCAGACATATATTCTTCTCTGGTAGGGATGTTAATAAGGTTTTCAATACCATGATTTGCAAGCATATTTAAGTAATTGCAGACAACAGATATCGATGGCTTCAAGATATCAATGTTCAGATCCCCCACAAGACACAACTTATCCGTAGGCACCATGTTTCCTAGAGTCATGTTCAGTTCATCTAAATAGTTAGAAACATATTCCGATGGGGGTCGATAAAATGCCAAAAAGGAAATAACAAAATCACCTTTACTGAGTTTCAAAGATAGACACTCTGCATAGTTAAACGATACCCCCGACTCCACTGCTAACCAAGATTTTTTAACATACACAGCTATCCCTCCTCCCCTATATGCACTACGCGTCAGAAAGAACGCCTCAAATTCGGGAAAAGAAAACTGACCGCGCGAAATTCCAACGTCCCGAACGTTTATTTCTGTTAAGACAAAAACGTCGACAGTATTTTCAAGTGCATGCACAACTAGTTGAAACTCATCCCAGTATTTCCTAATACTTCCGATATTTACATGTAAAACGGTAAGTGCGCTAGCACTAGGTGGAAAGGAGTCAAGAAACGAAGGAAAATCAGCGCTCAATATTGTGTCTTCCATTTCTACACTATTTTTTCTAAGTCTCTAGCGCTAGCGGTCCTCACCAGTGATGCGTTTTTGTCCTTTTTCGCGAAGATTGTGGCATTTTTCACCCAAACGAATTTGTAAGATTTTTCCCTGCCCTTAGTTCTCGCCTGCCAGAAGAGGTCCTTGTTTGCTCGTGTAAGGTTGTCATTGAAATATACTTTTTGTTGGCTTACGGACCGAGGAAGCGTGGCCAACTTCTTCCGAGCACTCATCGATTTTTCTTTTACAGACGTCGAGGAGAACTGAACCAAAATGGGGGCCGCCCCCTCGCGCCTCGAGCGCAGGCGGTGGCAAGCCACCACTTCGGCAGGATGGTGTCTACCGATGTTCAGTCTCTCGGCAAGGTCTTCGATAACTACCTTCACATCTTCGTCATCTATGATAGGAATGCCATGAATTTCCATGTTGCACCTCCTACTGTATTGTTCAGTGGAGTTTAGGTTTGTCTGTAGTTGTTCGATCATAGAAGTTTGATTGGATACTGTGGCTTGTAGCGCTCCAACTTCTGATCGCAGTAGTTTTACTTCTTGATCGTTCTGCTGAACAAGCTTCATCATGGATTCACATTTGCGAACAGAATCTTGAAGACTCGAGATCGTTACCTTCATTGCATCAACAGATGGCTTCAATAACAAAAGGTCGTCTACTTTTGCCGGGAGGTCACAGAGCCGGTCCACGTTTGCTTTCAAAGTGTGAAGAAGCTCAAGTTTTTGGCTTATTGCGGCAAGTTGCGCGGACACGGTATCTTCTTGCGATGCTGACGCAGCCTCCTCGCTGACGCCTAATCTGCTTTCACGCAATCGGCACGTGCGACAGACCCATTTTTTGCGTTTCCCGGTTTCCATTGATCTGAAAGTTCTGTCCGAAATGCCGGAGCAGGCATCAAGATGATATACGTGATTACAAGAGCAGCATTTCATAAAAGCCCCGTCAGTTGGTACAGACTTAAAACATACAATGCAATCTGTGGTGTTTGCATTAGCCATGACTGAGACAAAAATACTTTCAGGCACAGACAAAAATTCAGTTCCCAATAACAGATTTCACAAGAAGAAGCTTTCAATACACAAAAAGAAATATAATTCAAGTCACATTTGTTGCAGTCGGCGGCGTACACAGAAACAAAAAAACTAGGAAATCATGGCTATGAAAACAAGACTCTCACCTGCCAAATTACGGCAAAGTTAGTTCTCTGTGGGTGACAGGCCGCCGACTGCGCCGACGAAAGGCCTCGGATCCGTTCTTATGGGCGCCAAATCCGGTTGCCCGGATGATGAAATGATCCTCGTCCACGTGGTCCTGGTCTTTGTCGACGCACGCTGCGTCAGAAGTCCCTCACGCGCCGGCAGCTGGGAGCGACGATGACCGCGCTCAAAACCAGACAGTGCCGGTACGGTGGAGGCAATCCGTTCTGCCAAAAAACGGCAAAGTTAGTTCTCTGTGGGTGACAGGCCGCCGACTGCGCCGACGAAAGGCCTCGGATCCGTTCTTATGGGCGCCAAATCCGGTTGCCCGGATGATGAAATGATGCTCGTCCACGTGGTCCTGGTCTTTGTCGACGCACGCTGCGTCAGAAGTCCCTCACGCGCCGGCAGCTGGGAGCGACGATGACCGCGCTCAAAACCAGACAGTGCCGGTACGGTGGAGGCAATCCGTTCTGCCAAAAAACGGCAAAGTTAGTTCTCTGTGGGTAACAGGCCGCCGACGATTATTACGAATATTATTTATATTCGTAATAACATAAATAATAAAAATGTTAATATTAATGTTATATTTTTATTATTATTATTTATTATTATTATTATTATTATTACTATAATAAACTCTAAAAAATGCCTGCCCGTCTACTTACCCGCGAAACACTCAAAGAGCCGATCTGTGCAATCTACGAAATCAGCTCAGCGCATGATGAGGCGGAGCCTTCGTTTAGACCTAAAAATGAAGTCTACGCTGCGTTATTATGCAGCGCAAAGCGTCATGCTTGCTTTGCGTAATGCCGCAGTGCAGACATAATTTTGATTTCTAAACAGGTTTTCCGCCTCATCAATCCCGGAGCTAATTTTGCAGATCTTAGATATTGGCTCTTCGAGTGTTTTGCTGATAATCAGACGTGCAGGCATTATTTAGGGTATTGTAAGGTGGTAGAATTACTACAGTTGGGTTCAATGAAGATGATAGATTGTATTGCGGCATGTCATTAGTGTCAAAACGAAAAAAACGCAACCAATGTTATTCAGCTAGAGATAGTACTTTAAAACCTCTATGCTTCTGCACGCCTCAAACTGTTTTTGTTGTGAATATGCTCCAGTCAAATACGTGAAAACTTGTAAATATTTCGGTATTGATGTTGACTCTGAATTATCGCGGGACTTTTTTATCTTTTTTTACGTATTGAAAAAGCTTCGAGTTGCATCCTGCACCTTCTACAATATGCGAGCATTCATCACGATGTTAATCCGAATACTCCTTGTACACGCCTTCATTTATAGTGTGCTTCGGTATGGAATAGCCTTACTCAGTCATTGCACTGACCTATTGGAAACTAAAGTGAATGTTCTCATGAAGGGAATCGCGTAGCGTGGCATATGGTTCCTATAATCAAAACGTACGATAACATATTTAACGATCTCTCTTTACCATCCTTTCTAGCCTTATTTCTGCATACCAGCGGGGACCCAAAAGTAACCGGAATGAAGTTCTTGAGGGTGGGCCTCTCGTAGTACCAGCCTCCGCCGCTAGCACATCTTAACGGCAATCCTCTTAAGCCAGTTTGCCGACCGGCGATGTCTGCTATTGGCGACTCCAGCGAAATGGACGGCGCCTAGTGGCCGAAACGGAAAGCTGTGGCAGCAGGTTCGCTCATCAGACGTGTCTGGCGGATAACATATTCACTGCACCTGTCGGTCGAAAGACAAGACTGTGAGAGTAGGATAAAACACGCGTGATGACAATCGCCAATAGGTATGGCAGCATATTTTAATTTTCTTTCCGAGTCCGTCAAAATCATTCCTTGTTTGTTTCTTTTATTTTTTTTATTTTTGTTTTTGCTTTTTTAATGGCAACTTTAGTGGAAACTTTGCAATGATTCAAACAGCTTACACAGAAGATTCTCTGAAGATATCACAGCTATACGAGTAGTTTTCTTGCTTCAAAGTAGGTGAATCATTGATCGACGACCAACCTGGTTCATCGCGATAGTACATGTCTTCATAAGAGGTGTAAGAAAATATTAGAACGTTTTTAACATTTGTAATAATGATGTGGTAGAAAACACAAATGTCTTTTTTGTGCTTAACGAGACTATTATATTTAAGGACTGTTGGAACCATTTGAATATGATGGTTTTTACAATTCCATCTAAATTTCGCGAGTAAATACACAAGGAGAGAGTAATTGTGTTTTTTGTTAAAGACAATTGAGTTTTTTTTGTGCTGAAGCTAGTGCTCTTAAAGGTGGAAATTGTTATTCTGATGCTTTTTTTCGGTAGCCCGTTACAGGCCTCCTTATCAAAGTGTGAGGGGCTTTCCAAATAACAAAAATAAACCTTACCAACAGTAATCAACAGGAGTTCGTTTTGTCTCGGGGGGGGGGGGGGGGGGGGGGTATAAATATCAATGGACCAAAAAGGATAGATGACAAATATGTGACCTGTGACGTCCGGTCGAACAGCACCGAGGTCACGAAGAATGAAAGGGGCGAGGAGGAAAGCCGTGATGTTTCCCTGGTGAATGATCGAACAGAATATGGTTTGCCGGACTTCAAATGGCAATTCATATGGCGTGGAAGTGTCGCCTCACGCGTTCTGGAGCATCCTGTTTAGACACCTTTCAACCACACACTACATTTTCCTTCGAACCACTGCAATTATTATGTGAAGATTCGTGTTTATGCCTGTTGAACTGAAAGACATCGCCTTTGTGCCTTCCCACTTTTGTGAAACAATTCGTTAACGTCAGTTGCAAGGTAGGTTTAATTTCCGCGAACACTGAACAAGGCGCCTAGTTGTGCGCAGAAGCAAGAAACACTGCAACAATATACTGATTGCTGAATGCCAGCATAGACCGCAGTAGATAGTTATTTCCAGTAGAGAACCAAGGATAATTCAAATCGTATATTCACTGAAATAATGTTAAAAATTATAATGTAGTGCACCCATATTCACGATGTGTGTAAATTCTAATGTTTCTAATAAAACTGTAATTCTCAATCAAGTACTGAAACAAAATGCATTATATTGTGGTCATTAGTAACATAATATATATAAAATTCATATTAACAATACTCAGCATGTGAATGATAAATGTATATGCCTTCTTAAAACAATCTCACCGAATTCATTAACGTTGTTCCCAAACTTTCATCCACAGCTCTAGATAATGTAGTTTTAGGGTACATGCATGACTGTAACATCGAAAAGATTTGGAGCCAAACAAATGTATTTAACAAAACAAGAGAGTTGACCAAAAATGAACCTTTAATTCAAATCTGCAAAAATAGGGCAATACTCAGTTATACTTTCTCAATCTCGAACTTGGAAAATATGTTTTCAGAATATTGCACCCCGTTCTAATATACATAATACCCACAGCTTTATTAAGAACTCGTGTTTCACGTCAACGCACTGGAAGAGTGCTTTCCCCTTAGCACGCGGCTTCGTTGAGGGGAATCAGGTTAAGCATAATCGCGATGTCCATCTTGAGGTTGTCGCTTGACTGCAGTGACACTGTGCACGGTGAGAAGCGCACTCACCGCTGCTAGCTAAATTGGCAAAACACACCACGCACATGACAAATATAACGAACTACTTCCGAGTGCTGTCAGCGGTTGATAGAACTGAAATTATATATTACAGTATTTTAAGTTATAATCGAAAGTTCAGAAAATTTGCAGAACCCTACCTTATCAACCTAACCGTGTAGCGGGAGCTGTGCTCTTATATTTTAAGAAGTATAAGTGATATTGACTTCGGTCGCATTGTTCACGCAAATTCTTCAAAGTTTGGCAAAATATAGTATGGTGTGGCAGAGTAAGCCCTTAGCCGCAATTTAGTGCAAATGGCACAGCAATCACATCACAGCAGTCCATACGCATGATTGTGCCCATTGCATTGCATAAAAAATAAATTTACAAAATAAAATATGTACAGGCTCAACAGCCGCTGACCAAGTTGTACACCTGACATTGAAGATTGCTCGCACCTTGACTGTCTGAAAACTTCCATGTATTCATTCCTAAAAACCTGCTTATTTCCAGAAAATACTTGGTGCGAGCCATTTAGAGCAACGTAAGACGTTTTAACATTAATAAAAGGCCTGTTGAGCACCTCAACTAAGGCAGTTTTCACTACACCCTGAAGAGAAATTGCACAAATGTGATCCTTAAAGGGGCACTGACAGATCAGTCATTTTTTTCTTCCAAAATGATTGAAACCGATGGCAATCGAAGCGTGGGAACTCAAAATTTCTGAAGCAAAAATTATGTTATCGCACAATCTGCGCGAGTGGAGTCACGTCAAAGATGGAGACGTCCGGTTACTCGAGTTTCTATCCCGCCTCCGAACCGTCCCAAGCGGAAGTGTCGTGTTGTCACGCTTCCGCTGATCAACCGCGCTTCTCCGAGCGTGCCGCCTACAGCGTTGAACAGATGGCGCTTTACTTTCGAGTTTAAATATGCAGGTTAGTCCACGAAATGTGGACAAATTTGATACTGCGAAAACTACGTATCGCAAAAAAAAAAAAAGGCTTGTGTCGTTTCAATTCTAGGCCAAGGGCTATTAAGAAAAAATTTAAATGTTCGGGAGAATTACGTTGTTAATCACTTTCGCGTTAATATTGTTTTACATACT